GGCATCCTCGTGGGGCAGTGGGGGATTTTGTGGAGGCCGTTGTGGGTTCAGTTCGCAGGCCGCAGCGCCCTCATCACGGCCCTCTTTCGTCTGCATAACTACCTCCGCGACGAGCAAGTGAAGCCGGTCCACATGTCAGAGGAAGACACGGAGACCGGGCGCGGCCGTCCCCATCTGACGGAAAAGGACACGCTGCCGGAAGACTTTCAAACAACCGACACGGGATGCCGAAGCCGACGAGGTCGGGGGACGTCCCCACCCGCCTGGCGCCGAGGATGCTACTGGACAACAGGCGACAATACCGCCCTTTATACAACCTGCAGCGCAACGAGGCACTGTAGTCATCGAGGGCTGACAGGCGGAAGGGGCTCTGTGCGGGTTGAACCCGCTCTGGACTACGGTGCTTGAAAGTAGGGCATATTCGGGGAGGGAGAAAAAGGGTCGAGGAACACATTAAGGTTTGGCGGGTGGCCAGATAGGGCTGGGGTGAGGTGGTCGGGTACTAGGGATTCGTTGTGGAGACGCGGGGGGTACCGTGATGTATTGGCCTGCCCTTGACAGGAAGGGGCTTAGGGGCATACGTGTCTTGTCGTGTGTGCATGTGCGTATTTGTGTGCCCTTTACTATTTTGGTTTCCCATTTATTTTTGCGACAAAAGTCCCTCCGATGAATGCGAAACGTGTGCTACAATTCGCAGTAGTGTTTGGAGAATGAGCGGTCCCTTTCTCTCGGCGAATTTTTTTTCGTTCGTTGCTGCGCGCGGGATCTCCTGTTGTCGGTAAAAAGTGTCACCCCCAAGCAATGAAGGGGCTGATTTGTCGCCCGTTAGCGATCCGGGGCCAAAGCACCCTTAGAATACTCTTCGGTCTTTGAGCGCGTAGCGGCCAGCGTGGTCATCAGACATGTGCAAATACCGACCGCGCAGGGAGAAATACCATGCCGTTGGTTTGAGATCTTTTGCGCGGTGCTCTTTAATTTCGTGTGGACCGCATTGACATGTTGATTGTATCCCCACGTCGGATCAACCATGCAGACGATGGATATGGACGGTGAAAGCAGAAAACAACACCGAGCCAAGACAGTGAAAAAAAAAAAAACGGGATTCATTCGCCCCGCCCGACGAGACGTCTGTATAAATGGTCACATCTCCCTGCCTTGTTCTGGGTGCTGCCAAGAACAAAAACGCAACCACACAACAAGACGTACAAACAGCCCCACAACGGCGCTACAAACAACAAGACTAACGCGGCGACACTCCACCTCCGCGGTGATGCAACGCACAAAATAGCCTGCATCCCCACATTGGTAGGCATAGGGCATGGCAGGAAGCCGCCGCCGAAAAATCGCCGGACCAACCATGCACGACGGAAAAAAAACAACGTGCCTTGTCGCAACACAACATTACATCTCCTTGCCGTGCCTTGTGGGCGCTGCCGAAGAAAGCAACGAAGGCACAACAACACAAGGAACGATGCAGCCACACTACGACATTACCAAATAATACTCTCTCGCTTATGCCAGAATGGCGTAAAGGGTGAGGTGGTGAAGTGCCGCGCGGGAAACAAACGGCATACACATAGTTGTGCTGCCGGGAAATTACGCTTACGAATATAAGGGTCTGCAACGGACGGACCAGTTGCATCTCTTTAATCTTGTACGCCACCACCGCAAAAAACCACCACTTCGATTCGCATCTACCCTGCCCTGCCGCCAAACGTCTCCATCCCTAACTTACGTGTTGTTGTGGCCCATCCGAGCGAATATTACGTGTCAACTAGAAAAAAAGAAAAGGCTACGCCAACATGCATCTCTAAGTCAAGATGCAGCCAAAGACCCCACCAATCATGGTATTCGTCACAGGTGATATAGGAGGAGGTTAAAAACTATTGAGAAGACACCAGCACAGCCGGCGCCGTCCACAACAGATAAGTGCTACCGCCCGCGCCCCACGCACCCACGTGCCGGCTACCTAGCCATCCTCACTAGCTGCCGCCGTTTCTTTTCTGATTTGGGCCCTCACGGTCGTCGCCCGGTCCCGCAAGAGCTGTAGGTCTTCTTCGTCAGCGTCCGAACCTAGCTCCTTCTCCTTCCTGATGTCCTCCTTGATTTTCTGGAGTTTTGCGGAGCTTGGCGATATATTCGAGTTTGGCCGTCTTGTTCTCTAACCCCTCCTTCGTGCCGTAGAAGGATGTCGGGGCGTCGGCGTACGTGGGTGCGGACGACGTTCCGAACAGGGCGTCAAGGCCGAGCTCCCCCTTCACCGCGGATATAGCGACCTTCGCCGTGTTCTCGATCTGCGCGTCCTGCTTCTTCTTTTTCTTCTGGTGGCCACTGACGCCCACGTTCCTCTCCCTGGATTCCACTTTCGCGACCTTCCGCTTACTAGCATCCGCCGAAGCGCCCTGGGCACCACTGTGTCCGTCTCCCGCGGTCTCCACCCCCGTACTCTCCCTCGCGGTGCCGTCGGGGAGCATCTGGTCGCACACGGCCAGGATGTCAGGGCACTTCTCGGCCGTCAGCCCGAAGTAGTATGTGTCTAAGCTTTCTGCTTTTTCGGGGAGGGGTCGGGATTGGATGTGGGGGGGGAGGGCGGGGGGGCGAAGTAGATGATCAAGCGCAAGCCGAGATTTGTCAGCATTCGATCACAAACGTCAAGAGGAACTTTGCGTTGTTTGGCGTTGACTACCGTCTAAGGTTAGTTCTGGGCCCTTGGATGCACAAACCTACATGCTTTTCGACGCAACACGATGGGGAGCAAGCGCCAGGATGGAGAGGCCAAACACAAGCACCACACACGCACGCGCTCGCGAGCATTCAAACACTAAATACCCCGTGCACCTCGTCTACCCTCAAACATACACAAGGCTCGTTTTGTCACTGCACAACAGAAACAACATGGTCGGGCCGGAGTATTAAACTCACCCTTGCAGAAGGAAAACATCTCTCCGTTGCTGCCAGATTTCTTGAAGTTGGAGTACATTTCGCCGTGGTCCTTGAAGAGGTCGGTCCTCATGGTCGCGAACTTCTGGAAGCTGATGTCCGGCTGGTGTACGACGTTGGGGTTGATGCCGGCGCCAAAGATGTTGCTGTCGTCCGCGAAGGAACTGGGCACCTGCAATGTTACGTTGTTGGCACAAATACAGGCAAAGGGGGGGGCGCTTGCGTTTTGATCCTCTATCTTTGCCTTGGTTCGCCAAAATGTGCACAGTAAAGAAACACCGAAGGTTTGCCCTCGGGACCGCAAGTGGTATGCGGCGTGCATGCAGGTGCCAATCACAAAAAAGTACCGCCTCGTGCAGGCCACAACGGAGGATACCACCGCCACTACACCTAGACCAAACTGGAACATGCAAATTTTTTTTTATAAAGCATCTCACCTTGAACTTTTCGTCCTTGAACGCCTCCAAAATCTCGAGATGGATGTCCCGGGTCGTCCCCTTCTGCTTGGCGTCCAGCTCCTTCTTGCTCAGCTGCAACCTACTGGCGCCAAACCTTTCCCTGAACTGCGGATGCATCAGAAGTTCACAAAAGCGAGGGACGCAGTGCTTGATCTTCCTCCTTGATCGCCGCCGTGATGGCGGCGACCGTGTACGACTTGCTATCACAGTCGTACATCTTGTTCGGCTCGGGGCTGAGTCCACTCCAGATTGCAGCGCGTACCGCTGTGATGAGGTTTTAAGGAACTCGTTGCGCCTCCGCGCTAGATGCTGGCGGCTTCGATGGTGGCGTTCCACCTGACAGCGCCAACGAGCGGGGGATGGGCAGGGCGGTGTCGGAGGTTTTCATACATTAGACTCCCCTATGCATTCCTCGGCACAAGCTCGCCGAAAACCTGGCTGGCGAGGGCTTCCTTGCTTTTGCAGCATTTGCCACTTACGGTAGGGTTGGACACTGCGCTTCCGTGTCAGGACTGCTTGTTCGCAGAGCATCTACTGTAACTCACTTCCTCGACTGCTTGCGACTCCTAGGAATTGGTACGACACATGCCGTGCCTGGATCGGAGCCACAAGGCATCGCCTCCTCTCTTCTTCTCTCTCACGCCACGAAGAAAGAAAATCTGCTGGGATGGTATCGTCCAAAAATAAAGCTGTTGTGCGGTTGCTCCCCGCTGTCGAAACACAGCACGCTTTCTCCCAAAGGCAACAANCGAAACACAGCATGCTTTTCTCCCAAAGGCAACACCGCAAAATTACGAACGTAGGAAAAGCAACACATTTCGACGGAGCTACCCAGGTCCCATGCAAGCCTTGAAAGAACAGGCTCGTGGCAACACTACCACGAGCATTGTCTGGTGATCATTGGGTCTTCACCTGTTGCCTTGTCCTCCAAGTCAGCGAGATACGGACTGCTCCTGCTCATGACGATGTCGAGCTGCGTCAACCTCGCTGCCATCTTGTCTGTGTCTTTTGACCTAGAGTAGCCGCTGAGCCTCCGCAGTGCGCAGGCTTCCCTGAGCAGGTAAGCCGACCATCGCATGGTCCTTGCCACCGACTCGACCGCCGCGCTGCTGCCAGCTCGGCTCAACCGGCCCCCGCCAGCTCCTCTCGAGCTTACCCCGCCAGCTCCGCTCGAGCTTACCCCGCCAGCTCCGCTCGAGCTGCCTCCGTCAGCTCCGCCTGCTCCCCTGCCGTGTTGTCGGCCACGGTCATCGTCTTCTGACTCGCTGTCGCTGTTCCCTGAGTCGCTGCTTGATGAGCCGACACGGATGGACCCTCCGTCGGACGTAGAATTGAAACGTGCGTTCTGGAGGATGGCATCCACTTCATGAGCTCGATGGTCCGCCGCGCTTCTTGTACCCGTTCTCTGCTGCGCAGAAGCAGTGGGTGCCACGTGACCGGGCCCCCCAGCTACGCCCTCGCTCTGCGTGTTGGTGTCGGAAGCGCCTCCCGTGTTCGAACGAGCGGTCCCTTTGAAGCCAGGCAGAGGGTTCGGGGTGCTGGACAACAAGCCGCCACCGCCGACAGCAGCCCCGAGAGACCCGTTGTGCTGGTATTTCGCCGGAACTTTGGTGTGACGACCACGCAGGGTTGTCGTGGTCTCCACGCTGTTGTCCATGGTGTCGATATGTGGGCTGTGTGTGGTATATCGCTTGCGTATTGCTGCACGTGTCACGCGCGGCTCTTTCTTTTTGGAGCAACTCCACATCACAGCAAGTCACAGCGTTTAAAATGATAATTTTTGCTTCCAAACTTTTGTAACAAAAGTTTGGAGGTTTTGGAACGAAAGTTTGGAGTGTTTAAAACGGCCCTAAGTGGACAAAAGTGGGTACAATTTGGACAAAAGTGGGTCAAAATATAAACATAAGTGGGTACATGAAAAAATAAGTTGACGCCGGTGGGTTGTTGTTGTTGTTGTTGTTGTTGTTGTTGTTGTTGTCGTTGTTGTTGTTTCTCACATTAGCTCGATNCCTTTTTTAGGCTCTATCTCCTCGGCCCCGGCTCCGTTGTGGACTCAAAATACATTCCGTGAAAGCTGTGTCCAGTAGGATTACAACAAACTTGGTTTGAGGTCGATCCGAGCTTTCTACGCCGAGTTAGACGTCTTGTCCCAAATAGCCGTGCCGAAACAAAAATAAAGGAGGGCGCTTCCCACACCCGCCCAAAGAAAAAATCAAACGGTAACGTACCAGCACCAGGCACTACGCACCAGGGCATGGGAGTAACAGAGCAAACAGGACAAAGAGGCGGCAGATGGGCAGACAGCCAGACGCACAAAAACAAAGGCAACAGCAAAGCGAGATCAAGGTACCCAACACAGCAGAGTAGGCAGGGAGGTCATGNGCTTCTGCTTCCCTCGCGCGCTGGCGCTTCGCGGACGCGTCCGCCTCCTGCATGTGCCATTTCCTCATGAACCATGCCGCCCCGTCCTCGACCTTGTTGTACCACACCTCCGGGGCCTTACCGCTCTTTTTCCATTTCCCCCCTTCCCCCCTCCCCCTGGTGTTTGCCATCGGGGTTGGGTTTTCGTCGCTTGGCAACGACGTTGTAAAACAAGCCA